TCAGATTGTATAAAATTGAGGAGCCAAGAGCACCTTATGGCCAAAAGAGATTAAGAGACATAAAGAGGAAGTTAACGCTTTAAAGTTTTCAAAATGTCAGATGAAGCTCTTAACAGATGCCAGATTTTCAGGGACGGGTAAGTTTTTGAGATGTCGGCAATGGTTCTTCTTTTAATGGGTGGTAACATCTCATGGTTCATTTGCATTATTCCTCTGAATATTTTAAGCTTTCTTGCAGTAGATGTTCTGAAGGAAATGGTGTATTGATGCGATCGTGAGTTCAAATTAAAGGTCGTGTTGCTTGGTGATGAGTGAACTCAGGGGAGGAGTTGATATGCACAGAGTGTTTGTTGAGAATCAACTGATGACCGGAACCGAAGACGAGCCTAGCGATATGTCTGCTTTCGTGTTCAGCAGAAGAATATTCGTGAACAGTCTTCACTCCTGAACTTTCTGAGGCGAAGCAAAGGTTAGATTCTTTATTCTCATACTTTCGTTCTCATAATCTATAGTATCTTATTGTGTTAGTTTTTTCATTACACTGTTGAAATGCGTTATATTATCTGCGATTCTAAATTGGTTTTGTAATGATTTTTTTCATTTCTAATTATTTGTTATTAACTCAGATTGTACAATACGGCCATTAAGACTTGGGGGAGCTCCCAACCCATTTCAAACTACAGATTGATCCTGTGGAGTATCGCCCGAGAGAAAATCTCAAATTTGGTCTTGTGAAGTGGTTTACGAAGGGGCAAAGGTTTTTCTTCTTGCAACACCTTGTAATCTGGTCCGAGCCTTATATATGGTTTGTCATCTTACACACACTCTCTTTGTGGATGGGTAAACCATTTGCAGATATCGTGAGCTTACAGATGTTCTGAAGGTCCATGATAGTTCGGACCATCGTCAGGTGGATGAAACCTGCCGCGGAATTCAGAAAGCTTGCACAAGTATGGGTATATTCTGCGCTACAAGAAAGATGGAAACTGTTCTAATGCAATAAAGCGCGACATGTGGTTCGCAAGCAGTTTGTACATTACTGGAAGTTTAATTTGCCACACTTTTCCCTCCAGGGAACAAATGTTCTTCTTTTACTAAGAGTGGCTGGCTCATGTCTGAAATTCAATAGCTTCTCAAATGTTTAGTAGAGTGTTCTCTTTAGTTTGTCTCCATGAATTAGCAAGAACAGAAGGTCCCGAAACTTTAAATATTTATACAAAGTTATCAAATATGAATTAGAACAGTGAAAGTGATGAGTTTGACTTTTTGTATTGCTTTTTCTATTTTATTTCCGTACATCATTTTGTATATAACTATGTAAATTTTGCTTTGTATTGTTGAGTATTACTCTTCAAGAAGACTCAATAGAGGTGGTTTTAATGTTTTTACAACAATTTCTTCGTTTAAAATACTTCACAAATTGCTCTTTACAAGAATTGTTTTAAACCATAGAGATATTAAGTATTTAAGCATTCCACTGATTTTCAGGAAGAAGTACTGAAAAATTCTTTGTTTAAAGGGGGTTTTCCGATTTTTTTTTTTTTTTTTGAAAAGTTTAAGTGTTTTGTAATTATTTTAAAAATGTTACAAAGTGACATTAGATGTACAATTTTAGGTTCGGTTATTTATTGAGTATCTGCGATTTAAGTGGAACAATAGCCATGGATTGTTGTGCTAATCTTTAGTTGAACGTACATGTAAACTCGGGATACTTTGGTGAAAATTAAAGGAATGGAATTTAACCCAGCATTTCATTTTAAATTATATTGAGGGTTTCATTGAATATAGAATAGTCCAAGTTTTTATTCCTTTTGTTTTTCAAAAATAAATAATTAAATATTTTTTTAAAAAAAAAAAAATTAGATTGGTAGTGGGACATGAGTGTGAGGTTTCCGTTTCCTATGCAACCAAGGGATGATTTAAAAAAAAAAAAAAAAAAAAAAAAAGGTTGATAATATCCTTGAGCCATAAATATAAATTATCCCATGCATTAGTCAATGACATGAACAATTCAAAGTTGATATCCACATTTATTGATAACCAATAATGTTGAATATGCCAAATAATACAAACCCCCATGCGTGGAAGAAGAATGATATTATTGTTTCAGTGATCCTTGATTTGAATTGTCACTAAGCATCTCTAGCAAAATTGAAGAGATTCTACAGAAAACTCATGACAAAAGATGCTGAACCAACCATATCCATCTATGGGCATGTCCAAGAGGGTGGTTGTGGGGTCGGTTCCCCACCCTGTATTTTTCTCCCTTTCTATAAAATTACTGGGTTTACCCAAAAAAAAAAAAAATATGTTTTACCCAATTCTAAACTACAACTACAAAACTGCTGACTCCTGTTTCAAACCCTATTCTTTACCCTAAAAATATGGGTAATGATACCAACATTTATTGGATGGAATGTAAGGATAAGACCAACCAAAAAAACTTGTAAAGATATGTCCCTTATTGCTCGGTTTGTGTTGGGTGTTGGGTGGGTTGGGTCGACGATATGGCATATATTTGTGATCTTTGGAAGCATATTTCCTTCTTTTTTCTCAATGAAGGATCAAGCTTGCCAGATGCCTGATCATACAAATAATTTATTATTCCGCTAAAACAGGTTATCACGGGAATAATTATCATACCTGAGGAAAATCTAAGAAAAGTCAAAGTGTTACCTTGAGTTTGTTATATTCTCAACAAGTCTTTGCTTCCGGATTTCAGCTGAAAAAGACAAAACAGAGTAAGCTTTAAATAAACTTTTGCACATGTGCATGCTTATTTGTTTAGGGAAACATGTGAACAGAATCTTAAACACAACCGCAAAAAAAATATAACTTTAAAAGCAATGACTTGTGTGATTTACAGCAACAGTATCACGTTGTAAAAATGAGGAAAATAATAATATACGATTAGTCCAGAACACTTATAATTAGCAATCTCCTTGTAGTTAAGATAAAAATCATCCACACAACTATAAGTGCATCAGCAACACCAAGATACATACTTGCAACACGAGTACCACCAACATAAATACCAATTTTCCACTGTCATCAACGATCTTTGGTTGAAATAAACAAATATTGCACATCCTCCTATATGGTAACAGTAATCACTAAACCTCAACACAATCTTATTCAGAATAATGAACCCAAACACAACGATTAGCTAAAGAGTGGCTCCACAAAATCAACTCAACTGGTAAGGGCTGCCTAAAAACGACCACGACTCCAATTCCAGGGAAACCCAATACAAGTATATCATCTTATGGAAATATAACAAGAAGCACTATATTTATATCAAGACATCGGGTAAGTATGGCAGAAGCACAAAAGATACTATCAAACGAGAAGTAGAAAGAGGAAGAGGAAGTGGGAGAGAATGACAAATTACATTGTTTTAAGATAGAAGGGTCGTTTCCCAGTCTTGCAGCTTCTCTCTCTTTTTTCTTTGCTCAGAAAGTATTGCAGCATCCATCTACTCTTTGCTGTTTCAAAACTTAATTGTTGTCCTGATAAAACATGGAAAAAGAAGAAGAAAACTGTGATACATAAAGTTGCACTCCTATTGCTGGTGTGGTACATTAAGGTTTAAAAAGAAATTATACATGATCATGTATTGAAACTATTAGACACGAAAATTTCTTTCAATAAAGAAAAAAGACTTACAATCCAGGATACATGCTCTTCTCAATTCTCTCAATACATTAGGGTCATTTGTTTTCTTCAATTGCTTCTTCAGTTCTATTATACTCAGAAAATAAGTTGGGAGAAGGTAAAAAAGAAGAGGAAACGACATTAAAAAAATCTCCATGGTCATGATTTAGAAGATTACCTCTTTTTCAGCAGGAAGATATTTTCAAAAAGGAAATCAATTCTTCCTAACCTACAAAGATCCAAGCACATGTATCATTTACATAACAAGAGTATAGAACTGATACAACATTTAAAAACTAATGTGATGGGATTGATACAAAAACCACAGCATAAAATATGTGTGCACGCGTGTACACAGACACACAGCACACACACACACACATATAGGAGAGAGATGAGGAGAGGGGGAGAGAGCAGAGACGAGAGAGGAGAGAGAGAGACAAAGCTTATCCAGAACTGGTACAACATTAACAACTAATGTGAGGAAATTGATACAAAAACCAGATGCATAAAATACGTGTGGCGCACGTAACACACCCACACACACACATACATATATATATAGAGAGGAGAGGAGAGAGACAGGCTTATACACACCACACCACACATATAGACACAAAGAGAAGAGAAGAGGAGAGAGAGGGAGAGGAAGGCTTACCCATCACATCGAGGTTACCACACAGTGATTCAAAACGAGGGTCACGTACCACCTGAATAAAAGCAATTAATTTATTCCAACAATTTTCAATTGAAATAATTACAATAAAATAAGCATGAGCAATAGTAATTTGTTAGCTTTTGAAAAGAAGAGCACTATGACTTTCCTAGATATGATGTTGTCAAGTATGAAAATTCAAACGACGCAAGAAGGAAAGATGGTTCATGACAAAGCAACTGATGAAATTGATATACAAAGAGGATACGGAAATTAATGCTCAAGTTTCTTAAGTTTAGATTTGAAAAAATTGTCGAAAGCATAAATAAACAACCATCTGTCTATCCTCTAATAAGATGAACTCAGAAATATACGACAATTCCCATGCTTCACTTACAACAATTAGCATTTAGAACTTCGAGCCATATTAATTCTATCGAATAAAAAAAAAAGTATGATCAAACTAAAACATAAGCATCGGCAAGGTATTAATGAGAAAGGAAAAACAGAGAAAATGTTATTCGATTGGCCCACTGTGGCATATTTCTTCAATAAAAAGCACTCACAACCAAATAGGCCTTGATAAGTAGTAATTAACATAAATTAACAAATTAAACCATCTAGCATTGAAATATTACAAAAAGAAAGCAAAATAGAAATAATCTCATAACTGAACCAATTGAAAACATACTTTTTTAGGAGCTTGAACAACCTCTCTAAACCGACTCACGGGTTCTTCGCACTAACCTCCATTGGCCTTACAACCATAACCACAACCACCATCAACTCCCATACTGGAATGAATTAAAAATTTTAAAGCTCTAAATAAATAAACTCATAAAAACCTGTTCTTGTGTCTCTCCGGCTTCTTTTCTTGATTTTGCTTTTGGTAAACCAAATGCGAACCATCCGATGCGTGCTTTTTGCAGGTCCCCAAATGTAACTTCAGCCAGTTCACGCTCTATCTCCTCTCCTGTTACCAAAGATAAAAAAAAAAAAAAAAAAAAAAAAAAAAAAAAAAAAAAAAAAATCATTCAATAGGCATAAACTGTTTTAATATAGAAAATATAAAAAAAATAGCTTTCAACTCACATCTTCTGAAGAAGCAGAAATGGTTTTGTAATCTTCTCCATTGGTTTCTTCCAAATGGGTTTTGCTTGAGCTCGCCAGTGACTTTACTGGGTTTCTCATTTTGAGCTTTAAAAAAACCTAATGAGTAGTCAAGAAATCTTTTTCAAATACTAGTAATACATCCTCAAAGTTTAACAGATCTGTGTAAAGACACAAACACTGCCATACTTTGTCTTTCTAAACACATCAAACAAACATGAATTCTGTGCTCAAACAAATTCGTCTATCCGATTTGTTAAAATAATACACCAAATTGTATCTTACAACTAGTATCAATTCAATTTAAGCACAATCATTAAAAAAAAAAAAAAAAAAAAAAAATCAACAAAACAATTTACCCGTTAAAAAACCAGCGATAAACCCAGAAATTGAAACCAAAAAAAAAAAAAAAAAAAAAAAAACCAGAATTTCTCCGTTTCCTATCAGCTCTACCAAAAAAAATCCATCACATTTTTTTTCTTATTTTTCCATCACCTCTACTATAAATTCTAAATTTTTTCTATCTTCACCATATCTCCACATGCTACACTATCCACACAAAATCATTCATCTCTTCCCCATCACTCCACATTCATGGCTGGCTTTTACCAACAACACAAAGCAAAAAATAAAAATAAAAAAAATACAATTAAACCAAAATGCACAAACTCGAATTAAACAGCCCGAAAAAAGACCACAAAAGACGCTACTTCGGACTAACGACGAAGAGCGAGATACCTTATCGAAGATGAAGAAAGACGATTCGAGTTCCACGAAGGAGGGCTGAGGTAGACAACGACGGACAGAAGAGCTGTGACAACGACGGCTGACCGCTGGAGCGACAATGAGGGAGAAGAAGAAGTTTTCAAATTCGAGTTCGTTGTCGGTTCGGGTACGGGTTCTCTACTTGTTAAACTTTAAGCTTCCACGTGTCAGCCTAAGTGGAAGGAACAAATTTGCTTAAGTCCAGTACGCATAAATATAAAGTCCACTTGCAATAATTTTTAGTAAATAAACACATAATGAATTTATTAAAAAAATTTAAATTAATTAATACATTCATTTTTTCTTCCGGATTGAAAAATCCAATTAGAGTAATATTACAGTATCGATGTGGGGCCTGCAATAATTATGCACCGAATGACGTGACAAAATTCTGACCGTTGATTTATATCAGTTAATATTAATCAACTGTCAGAATTTTACCACGTCATCGGTGTAAACTTTTCGGTAACTCTATCATTTCCCATAAAACGGACTAGTTTGACCTTTCTGAACCAAAACAGGTAATCGATTCAGATGGAATGTTAATCGAAATCGGACCAATTTTTCACTTGAACTGATTTGTAATTGAATTGATTTTTCGATTTGGTTGACTGGTTTTAATTTTTTATTTCCAATCAACAAAGGCAATTTAGGACAATTTTTAGTGAATTTTAAATAAATGCACTAGGGAAGCAAAAAAATAATCAACCAAAGACATATATGGGTTAGGGTTTAGTTAGACTTTAGACTTTTAGAGTAAAAACGATTTAAAATCCGGTTTCGGTTAACCGGTTTACATTATTGGCTAAACAATTTCGAAAAAAAAAAACCATTTTTTCGATTAGGTTTTGGTTTGGTTCAGTTTGGATTTTTTTTTTTTTCCACCTTACCACTTTGATCTAAATTAACTTCAAATCATTATGCTAATTATTTCTAATTTCATTTTAACAATTAAATTACAATCTGAACCTACAAATGTCATCAATCACCAAGATGAATCATCGCACAGTTGACACGTAAATGGCCCATAAAATTTCACTCTGTGGCGGAGCGTAGGTGATCGCAACCCTCCTAAAGTGGTGATTCGAGATTATTGATTTAGTTTTGTTGCATGAAGGCCTTTCAGTTTCAGCCTCCACATTGCAAGCGCTGGCTACTCCAAAATTTTGAGCTCTCTCTCTATATCTGAAACACAAAAACAATCACATTTTTCAATTTATTTTGTGTTTCGAGGTTTTCATCAATCATGGCTGGCAGCTGGGATGCTCGTCTGATGTAAGTTTTTTTTTTTTTTTTTTTTTTTTTTTCATTAATATGTGACTATTGATGATTAGGTTTGTGTTTTGTTTTTTACTATTATTCTTTCTTTTTTGCAGGTTTGAACTGTATTTATTCGATTCTAAGAAAGAATAACATGCATCAAACGGCTGAGATTTTCTCAGAGAGGCCATCTTTCATTACCTAGTATTCACGTAATATATTACGCGTCTTTTTTTAATTGAAAAAAATGTTTTTTTTTCTCTTTTAAATTCATTTCACAGAATTTATGTTAATTGTTTTTTATTATTTATTTATTGATGGGTTACTGTTGTTTTTTCACCCTATCCTCAATCCCCCAAGGTCCTAACCTTGTTTAGTGAGATTTGATCTCAAGAACCATTGTGCAATGACGAGGGACTAGCACTTTACCATCTGAACTAATTAGCTACCATCGTATGAAGGATCTCATTGCTGGCTCCAATATGTAAAAATCCTGAACACAGATGAAGGGATATTGCAATAAATTATTCTGGGTGCTTGTTTCATCTCTAGCTTTATAGTTATTGGTCTTTGTCTGCTCTTCTTTAGTTAGAGCCTTGATATGGCATAGCATAAAGTGTTCTTTCTTTATTTCACAGGTACCAAACACAGTTGAATTCGTTGACTGGATTGGTCGAACAAAGCTAAAGAAAATTCGTGTTACTGGGTAAGTAGTTACTCTTTATGATAATTGAAATTGAATTGACTCTCTCGAATTACAAATTTTGATTCATTGTCTTTGAATTCTCCTTTTCTTAACTTTCTTCCCTTAATTATATGAAGCTGGAAGATATTTATACTTAATATTTGTTTATTCACTGTAACCACTTTCTCCTTTTTGGATATGTTTCTGTTATTAGGACTACCAAAAGGCCAGTTCCTCTGGAACACTGCCTATTTTACTCTGGAGTTTTCTACCAAATATGTGAGAATGAAACTTTCATACCCGAAGGGTTGAAAACTGCTAAAGATGCATTCAAGAAAAAGAATTCAAGTTCAGTTGGAGGTGGTAGTGGATCCTATGCTGGGTTTTCAGCAGGTCGTGATGGGGTTCGATCTCAGAAACAAGAAAATCATAATCGTGGTAAACAGAATAAGCATTCTGGTCCCAAAAATTCAGGGAATTTCTCTGGGAGTGGTTGGGTGAATCAAAACAATGGTGGTAGCCAGAACAATTGGGGTTCAAGGAGATCAGAAGCTTCTATCTGGTTATCGCTTATAAACAAGCTGTCAAAGAAGTCACTATTACCTGTATGTTAGGTTACCTCTTATAACGTAATTTTATGCTGGGGGCTTCTGGTCATATGCGAATGATATTCCATTACTTCTCAGCATTTATCATTTTTTTTTT